ATATATATATATCCTTATGTCGTGGTGCAGGGTCTAAGTAAGTTTATCCTTATGTCGATGCATGCATTCCGAATCAAGGATGCAAGTCATGGCCCGTGGATTCAGTTCTTTGACTTGTCATGCGTTGCTGTCCACTATCTTCTTCCCTTTTCTTTCTTTTTATATGGAAAACCTACCTTCTATTAACTCCAAAAGGCAAGCCATTAGATGTTGCAATTATATATATATATATATATATATATATATATATAGATATAAGACAGCTAAATTACAATTAGAACCTGTTGACTCATAAATTTAGCTTCGTGCTTCCCTCTTCTGTTTGATATGACTCATTGAAACTACAATTCAATGCGCCATTACTCCTATTTTAACAACAATGTCAACCAAAGTTGTTTGTTGATAAGTAAAGTCAGATGCACTCGAGACTGATTATTTAGATGTTAAATATGCGATATAAATATATAAATCCTTAAGTCAGCAAAACCACCGGACTATCTCTTGAAATATTTTCATTTTCCTCATGCTCATTGTTATACTTCTTATAAGGTTTTATGCGTAGATTTTGGATCCCTCTCATCTTATATACTTTGTCCGGCAATCTCGACACATTGATCGTGTCCAAAGTCGTGTGAATCACGACGAGGACTGAGTGGGGTCGGGCTGGTAGGCTTCATGGGGGCTCTGTCGCGACACAACTCGTCACTTTAATCGTATGTTGTCACCGAGCTCCCTACCTGGTGACACAAATGAATGGTAGTCTTCCCCTCCGTTCCATGGCTTTCTTCGCCTTTGCCGTCCCCCTTTCCCTTCCCCTTCCCTCGCGCTTCGAAACGTCAAAAGCGACCTCTCGCGCCTCTCCAGCGGTCACTGTTGACATTTCGTCTCTTTCCTTAAACTTCTCCATCAGTTCATGTCTTCCCCGTTATAAGCCATAATCTCTTCGCCCTTACAAAGCCATCGCTCCCGTTCCAAGCACAACCCACACGCAGCTCTCTCAAAGCAAGCAGCTGAGGATGCCGAGAGGCGATGGCGGTGGAGATTCCGCGTTTTTACTCCAGTCGGCGAAGTCGTTGCCACTGTGCGGGGAACCCGAAGACGAAGACGTCGAACTCCGCGGTCTCCGGACGTTCCTCCGTTGGATGTGCCTGGACCAGTCGGACCGCTGCCGCGCCGCCGTCTCGTGGTCCGTGTTCCTCCTCCTCGCCGTTGCCGTGCCGGCCCTGTCCCACTTCGCGCTCTCCTACAGCCCCGAGCGCCGCCCGTACGACCTCGTCGCGCAGGTCTCCCTCACCTCCGCCGCCGCTCTCTCTTTCTTCACCCTCTCCGAACTCACCCGCCGCTACGGTCTCCGCCGCTTCCTCTTCCTCAACAAGCTCCCTGCCGAATCCGGCCGTGTCCGCCTCGCCTACGCCGCTCAGCTCCGCCGCTCCTCCCGCCTCCTCGCCTGCTTCGTCGCCCCCTGCTTCGCTGCAGAGTTCGCCTACAAGCTCTCCTGGTACGCGGTCGGCGCGGGGCGGGTCCCTTTTGTCGGCAACCAAACGGTCAGCGGCTGCGTCGCCTGCGCCCTTGAGCTGGCCTCGTGGATCTACCGGACCGCCAACTTCTTCCTCGTCTGCGTGCTGTTCCGCCTGATATGCCACCTGCACATCCTCCGGCTGCAGGACTTCGCGGCGGTGTTCCAGGAGGAGTCGGACGTGGAGGTGGTGCTCAAGGAGCATCTCCGGGTGAGGCGGCAGCTCAAAGTCATCAGCCACCGGTTCCGGTCGTTCATCTTGCTCGGGATGATACTGGTCACTGCGAGCCAGTTCGCCGCGACGCTGGTCACCCTCCGACCGCATTCCGACGACAACCTCTTTAACACCGGGGAGCTCGCCGTAAGCTGGAAACCGCCCTTCATTAGCTCGAAAGCCAGATTAATCCTACACGGTCGGCTGAATCGAGCTTTTGGTTTTCGCAGCTGTGCTCTGTCGTGCTCGTCACCGGACTATTCGTCTGCCTGCGCAGCGCCGCCAAGATCACGCACAAAGCCCAAGCTCTTACCAGCCATGCGACGAAGTGGCATGTCTGCGCCACGATCGATTCCTTCACCGTAGAGCCCGAGACAAGCCATGAGGTCGCTTTTGCCGTGGGCGAGGGTGCAGCCGACTCCTCTTACGAGGAAGAAAGCAGCGAAGAAGACGATCTGGAGGGCACCAACGTCCTGCGTCCCCATGTCCGTACCATCACCTTCCAAAAGAGACAGGCACTGGGTAAGCCGCCATGAATCCTCCTCCTCCAACAAAGAACTGTACACCATAAGCGTACTTCACTCCTTCCTCTTCGATTGCAGTGACGTACTTGGAAAACAACAGGGCAGGCATCACCATCTTTGGCTTCACATTGGACCGCGCATGGCTGCACACCATCTTCATGCTGGAAGTGGTCCTGTTCTTGTGGCTCCTGGGGAAGACGATAGGGATCTCTTGAGCCTTTGCCTCTCTTCGTTTGTCGAGTGCAGTCGTTCATGGGTTGCTGCATGCGAAGGTGTGTACTTTTAATTAAGGATTTACCATGTAAGTTTTCATCTATAAAAGGATTTATCGGTTTAACTCCTGCAGTTGTACATTAAACCTCGATAGCAAGATCTTGGAATCCAATAAATTTTCTGAAGGTTAAGTAAATATTTAATACTCGCGTAAATATTTACTCCTCTAATTCAATAATAACTATATTTAGTGCTAATTAATCAAGTCAATCATCAATCAATCGCAACACATTCGACTCAAACCCCAGTTTGAACCAAACCCAACTTCAGTTCGACCCGATTTCAATGTACCACTCGAATTCAACGTACACCACAATGGACGGTTATGATTAAAGGATGGGACGTTCCCTTCTCACGGTGGGCGAGGATTCCGTCCCCATTACTTTCGCCGACTGGCTCACCTCTCACAATCCTCGTGTGAGGCCCCACATAAGTTGGATGACGTGGCCTAGTTGTGAGATGCCGTGTCGGGGACTGCACTCGTAGCCTTTTCATTATCCGACAACGTACGCTTCGGTGACCGCGAAACCTCCGGGCCCACATTCCATGGCTGTATCATGAGCCAGGTAAAGTTTTGGGTACTCGAAAAGAGTAGATAACTATTTTATATCGACATAGTCGAGAAATCAGGTTGTCGTCGGGCGGGAAACGAGCTCTTTTACCATTAGTGGGGTTGAAATACCGAAACTCACCCGAAGCTTTACCCCGGAAGGTCTCGTGGGCTCCGCTGCGGGGTCCAAGACACGCTCGACCGAGCATTCAATCGCTACGTGGTGTCTCATCAGGGTTAATTGCGGAAACCTGACTGAAACCGGAGTTGGAATCCCACACAAATAAGGAACGACGTGTACTCTTTCTGACACGAAAGCCCTGATTTGCCATTTATTTCAAATCGTTCGATGTGATATATACATGTAACAAGTAAATATACGAAGAGGATTCCTTCCTGATCTTTCCTTCTTTTCCCTCGCTTTCTCCTCCACCGTCTCGAGAAGCGAGAGGACGGCGACGACGACACCGAAGGCGATCTCCTTCTCCCGCCTCTGAAGCTTCCGTCCTCGCAATCTGTTCGTCTTCTCGTTCTCCGTTTCAGGTTTCTCGCTTCCTTGACTGGAACCGATGGCCAAACGAATATTTGATGGTTTTCTCCACGAATCTGCCTACTGTTTGGGGTGTACTTTCGCCTCGTAGACTTCTTTTGCTTGGTCTTTTTTGCGTTTTCTTTGTCGATTGTGATTGTTCGTGCTTCGATGGCGGCGGGTTTTGGCAATCTGTGTTATTTGGCTCTGTTTTCGTGGTGGTTGTCGCGGTGCTTCGATTGTTCGTTCCTATGCACTATTTTTTTAGGGTGATAGATGCATTGTAGTAATATATTGTTCTGATTTAGCTCGAGGTTACAAGTTTTCCTTTGATGGTTTTAGTTGAATTTGTTATTGGTTTTATCAGTTTAGCATATAAAATCATAATCTCAAGTGCTTTGATGAGGTTGACATCTAGAGATGTATTATCTTTTCCAGTGCGTGTTTGATTGCTGTGATAAAACCTTCCTTGTTATTCCTATTGTTATTATTATTATTACGATTCATCTCAGAATAGGTTTTTTTTTTTAATTTTATGAAACAAAGATGTTTTGGTGTGGATGTTAAAAATACTTAACAATGAATGTTCCAGTGTTTTCCTTTAACACTTTTCTAATGTACACTGTTTCTACTTTGTTAGTAATGATTCCATACTTTTAGTCCTGCGTTTATAAATCTTTTGTCTTAATTCTGACAGTATGGTTTCGCTTAGCGGTGAAATTGGGATAGAAGGGTCGTCCTCTTCTTCTCAGGCAATGCCAGAAAGTGTTTTACCCACAAAAGCTGGGACATTTGATCCTCCAACACGCCTTCCAATGGCCAGACCAGCTTTTGGCACTGAAGGACGGCCCGTCCAGCTGCTTACAAACCATTTCAATGTCAAATTTACCAAGCAGGATACAGTTTTCTATCACTATAGTGTATGTGTGCTGTATGTTACTTTCGCAATATACAGTTGAAAGTGTTTTACTAATTAACCTGTGCAGGTCAATATATCTCATGATAAGAGTGATGAGAATCATGCACATAGCAAAGGGTTTGGCAGAAAGGTCCTGGACAGGCTATACCAGACCTACAGGTCAGAGTTTGAGGGGAAGCAATTTGCTTATGATGGTGAGAAGAGCTTGTTTACTGTTGGGCCTCTGCCACAGAACAACTTCGAATTCACAGTTGTCTTGGAAGATTCATCAGCCAGGTAATAGCTTGCTACAGTAATGTTGCTAGATACTTTGTCTGATGATCTGGGATTGCAGAACTTTTAATGAATGGAACCCTTTTGTTCATCAAGAGTCCTATTCTTATCAATAAATAGATGGCACCTCCTTGGGAACCTATGCAGGATATCCTATCACCTGGTTGAAAAAATAATTTATCTGAATATGCTTTATCTCATGTCACAGAGCATGCCTCTTTAATCAATGGTGCGATGGTTGAAATCTTGTATAAGAGCACGAGCATGCCTCTACCTGAACTTATGTAGGACATATTATCAAGAGTGCCAGATGTGACTGGGTTTCTCTTGACAAACATTTGACACCTATATTACAGTAATTATCATAAGATATAGTTTAATATATCAGCAAAGTACATGATATCAGAGGTCTAGATGTACATGTGACTGGGTTTCTCTTGACAAACATTTGGCACCTATTATGGTAATTATCATAAGAGATAGTTTAATTTATCAGCAAACTACATGATATCAGAGGTCTAGTTGGACATTTGGAGTAGACAACAGATAGCATTGTAGGTTTCCTTTGTTAGGAAAATTGAATAATCTAATTCGAGTTATTTTATCATATCTTTTTTAAATTTTGCAGAGCTACTGGTGGAGATCCAAGCGGTGACAGCTTGGGTGAAGGAGATCAGAAACGTTCTAGACGATCACATTTTACAAGGACATTTAAAGTTGAATTGAGTTTTGCTGCAAAGATTCCTCTAAAATCTATTGCACTTGCACTGAGAGGCGGTGAGTCAGAGGATGCTCAACATGCTCTGCAAATACTTGACATCATTTTAAGACAACAACAAGCAAAAAGGTATATATTTCAATGCAACTTTAAATCAGTCTACTTCTCGTTCCTAAGTTTTTGTCACTTTTTACATATCTAAAGATGAATTTTTCTGTTTGATTGCAGGGGTTGCCTCCTTGTCAAGCAATCGTTTTTTGATGGTAATCATGTAAACTTTATTGACTTGGGTGGTGGTGTATCTGGATGTCGAGGATTCCATTCTAGCTTTCGCACCGTGATGGGTGGTTTATCATTAAACATGGGTATTGTTTTCTCTTACTCTTGCTGCATTAATTTCTGGGTCTTTTGATGTCAGATTTCAGCTTGCTTCCATCCTGCCTGCAGATGTTTCCACCACAATGATTATCACCCCTGGTCCTGTTTTGGACTTTTTGCTGGCCAACCAAAATATACAAGATCGTCGACGAATTGACTGGGTCAAGGTACAAAATATCAGAACATGTACTGGCCTGCAGTAGTATTGTTGCATGATTATTCTGGTTAAGTATGTACAGGTTTATGGGTCCTTATGGACTGTTGTGTGGAACTTTACAGGCCAAGAGGATGCTGAAGAATTTGAGAATTATGACAAGACACACCAAAATGGAGTTCAGGATTACTGGCTTAAGCGAAATGCCATGCAACCAGCAGCTGTATGTCACTGATTCTTATACATGCCTTCCGTTTTTGCCTTTGTTTAGTATTCTAATATTGTTTGCACGTCGATTTTTATTCTGTGTTCTTAGTCTTTTGGATAATACACTTTCATGTAGCTTTCCTTTGAGAGTAAGAAACAGCCATGGTGAAACTCAAATAGTGGACATCACAGTGTATGATTATTTTATGAAAACCCATAAAATGCAATTGACATGGTCAGCACATATGCCGTGTCTTGATGTGGGCAAACCAAAACGGCCAAATTACCTCCCAATAGAGGTTTGTAATAATTTATTTGCTAATCTTTTCCAACAATTAGTCCTTATGGCCTCTTTGTGTTGTTTCATCATTTTCATCTGTTCATGTACATAATTTATATTGCAGCTGTGCAACCTTGTTTCACTGCAACAATATACTAAGGCATTGTCTTCTCAACAAAGGGTTTCACTGGTTGAAAAGTCTAGACAGAAGCCTTTGGAAAGAATCAGAGTAGTAACAGATGTGGGTTTCTCTCACTTTGCATGTCATATTGTTTCTGGCCTCTGGTCTTGACCATTCCTAATGCGACAGGCTGTAAAGAACAATCACTATGATGAAGATCCAATTCTTAGATCCTGTGGAATTTACATTGATAAGCAATTGAGTAAGCTGGATGGCCGTGTTCTTAGTGCCCCAACGGTAATGATCTAGCTCTTATTTAAGCTCTCATCCATAGAAAATTATTGGTGAAGTTCCTGACATTCAAACTTATTTGTCTCTTTAACACAGTTGAAGGTCGGTAACGAAGAAGACTGTGTTCCTCGTAACGGTCGATGGAACTTCAACCAAAAGGTTGTGTGCTATCAATACTTCATGAACAATATTGTGTTAAACATGATTCATAGTGCATTTTAATTTTTTCTTATCACAATCCATTCTGATCTTCTACTTTATACTGAATATCGTCTTTTTGTGCTTGCAGAGACTCTTTTATCCCATCCAAATTGATCGGCTTTGGGCTATTGTGAATTTTTCCGCTCGATGTGATTTGAGTTATTTGTCACGGGAGCTCATTAACTGTGGAAGGAACAAAGGAATTGTAGGTTCTATTATCTTGCTTATTTGAAATTGTTTTAACTCATAAATATCTTACACAATGTAATTGGCTTTTGTAGCAAATTAAGCGTCCATTTACCTTTTTTGAGGAGGACCGGGAGTGGGTGAGATCTGATCCTGTAGTAAGAGTTGAAAAGATGTTTGAGAAGATAAAGGCAAACCTTCCAGAGCATCCTCAATTTCTTCTATGTGTCTTGCCAGAGAGGAAAAATTCTGACATTTATGGTTAGTTGAATCCTATTGTTATTGGTTTTACTGTCATTGGTTTTCTCGTCCCATCTAGTGTTATCCTTTTCCTCTGAAGGGCCTTGGAAGAAGAAAAACCTTCATGAAGTGGGTATTGTTACTCAATGTATCTCTCCTACCAAGATCAATGACCAATATTTAACGAATGTCCTCCTCAAAATCAATTCTAAGGTATTTAAGATGACTGCTTGACACTTATTCTATATTTGCACTGCTTTTGAAATTCTCTTTATCACTTCTTTTGAAGGTAATTCTATATTTATTTCTGTTTACATCATCAGCTTGGTGGCATCAATTCTCTACTTGCTGTTGAGCATCCATGTAGAATCCCCCTTGTTAACGAGATCCCTACAATGATTCTGGGAATGGACGTTTGTCATGGTTCTCCAGGTCCTTCAGACTTTCCATCCATTGCAGCGGTAATATATGATTCCTGTGATTGTTGGTGACCTAGTGTATTAGTCAGGTCCACCATATTGTTTCATGATAAAATGTATTAGGAAGAATACTGAATGATAAAGGCACAATTCTATTTTTGCTTTCCCAACAGTTAATAATTTTTTGTTTTATTCATTGGGAGATCCACAGGTAGTTGGTTCCAGGCATTGGCCTCTGATATCAAGATATAGAGCATCTGTAAGAACACAATCTCCTAAATTGGAAACAATTGATTCTTTGTATAAGCCTGGAGCAGATGGACAAGATCATGGAATGATTAGGTAATAATTTTGAGAAGTAAATGTGGAAGATTGACTTGGTGATTCATTGTGGCAATTGCTTGACTTGCCTTCATTTTGAAAATATCAGGGAGCTGTTGTTAGACTTCTACCGAAGTAGTAATGCAAAGAAACCTACTCAAATGATCATTTTTAGGTACAGTTGCCTTCTTCTTTATAATATTTGTTTGGTATTCTAACAGGCTTATGCCAGTACAAATGTCAGTTGACAGTTTGATGAATAAGATTGCTTTGTAGTGAAATAAATGAAATCTCAATTAAATCACTCTCTGAAAGTTTCTTTATTGTTGCTGGAGTTTGAATAGGATGTTTATTTGTTTTTCTATATTCCCAAAATCATCAATCTTGCTTGTTAATTTGACTTTGACATGTGTACTTCTATTGCATATTTGATTGTCCTTGTTCATTTATCCTTTGTTCGGCCAGATAAATGCTTTTCTGAATGATCTATGTGATACTGGCATATGCTTATGACCTCCCATTGTTTGCCTTATCCTATCCATATTATGGTGTGTCATAATGATCCTAGTTCCCAAACATTAAAATTTTTGATGGAATACCTTAATAGAACCACAAGCCCTTTATCGACATGATTGATGTTAGATATGCACATGCACATCCCTATTCTTGGAAGTCCTGACTGGAAGCTAAACATTGAGATCAGATGCTATAAGGTAATATCTCAAAGTGCTAGGCCTGAACCCACTTCTTCAACTCGTTAAATGTGTGATACATGAATGTTTCCTTCATCACCAACTTTTTAAAGAAAAAATTTTGCTGTCTTATGTCTATTAAATTGAATGTTCTAAATTATGTGGCTCCACTACAAGTCCATGGTGTCCTATGTTGGAATTTCTTTTTAACAAGTCATGAACAGTCTTTGATTCATACTAATGAGACACTTGGCATGATGAATGGTTCCATGGAAACCTAGTATTTTGATACAGATTCATAAGTTCAGCGCTTCTCTAAGTTGTTGATATAGGCAAAATAAAGCTTTATAAAATTATCGGAGTGTAATTGAGTTTGAAGGTTGTGGTAATTGAATAGGCTTTTAATGAACAAAAAAAAAGCAAGGAACATTATCATACTGTTACATAGATGATGTCCCTAATTTTCGGTATCATTAAATGAATACATGCATTCATTTGCCGACAAGAGAAGAAAGAAGTAGAATTCTTCACATGTATCATTTCAATTTACCAAGGAATAACAAGCATGTCTTGGTTAATTTGACATTTCTGAAAGATATATTGGCATTACTACCTAGCATGGTCTCTGACACAGCAGGACTACCAGATTGATCCTTCATCACCCTATCTGTGTTTTGAGATACCCAGCACCATTGAACTCTATTGACTTTGCCCAGCTAAATTTTCGCCATAGGTTGCTATAAGAGCTGACTCAGCAGAATACATGGTGATAGTCCATTTTCCCCATTTATTACACCTACAATGGAAACTTAATTGTAACCTCACCTGAATTTGTCATGCCAGTGACTTTTTTTTCTAGTTGCGTCAGATATGTTTTTTTCTATTTTTTTTCCCCTCATATGGACACATGTTCAGTTGTATCCCAGTTGATCCAGATGCAACCTTTTTGACTTTTAAATTATTTTGTTATCCATGTAATTATGCCTAGAAAAATAAATGTTACTTGATCCCACACTCTGATCTTTATTTTTATATGAAAAATATATCCCTTCATCCTGATACTGTTGGTGAGATAGCATTCTATTTTATTGTTATTTTGTACCCTAAAAATATTAGAGTGCTTCATTCAAATGCTTTTGCATGCATTAGCATGGACACATGAAAAGTTATGTTGATTGGTGGCCATCAGTGGACTGGAATCTTAAGTTTATTTTATTGAGCTTGATATATTGTAGATACTCAGTTGTCTTGCCTTGTCTTTAGGTCAGATCATAGTACCAGTTTTTACCTTGAAAGTAATAACCTCTTCTTTTTTGCTTTCTTTTGTCAAATTGAGTCTATGTTTTCCTTTCAAATGTTTCAGGGATGGTGTTGGTGAAAGTCAATTTAATGAAGTTTTGAATGTGGAGCTAAACCAAATCATCAAGGTAACAATCACATCATTTCATCAGTTAGTTCCTGGGTCATGTTCCTTTTAGTATCCAAACCTTGTTGTTTCAGGCATTTGAGCATCTAGGTGAGTGTACGATTCCCAAGTTCACTGTTATCGTAGCACAAAAGAACCACCACACAAAGCTTTTTCTAGCTGGTGCTCCCGAAAACGTCCCACCTGGTACAGCTTTTGATTAGATCATTCATTTTGATGATGCTGCGGAATGGTTTTTGTGATTTTGATTAGCTTTTGGTTTTTGTATCAGGAACTGTTGTTGACACAATGGTGGTTCATCCAAGGCACTACGATTTCTACATGTGTGCTCATGCCGGAATGATTGTAAGTTTTCGGTGGCACAGACACTCTACAATTCGATGTTGAACTTCTACCACTGCTTTTTCTGCACTTTGTATGTGGTGGGCACTGCAAAAGCTTATATCCTTTTTCCATTCATGTTAGGGAACTTCAAGGCCGATCCATTACAATGTACTTCTTGATGAGATTGGGTTCTCTACTGATGACCTACAAAAGCTTGTTCTTGCACTTTCCTACGTGTAAGTCTATGATCTCAGTCCCTCTTCCATGGCTAAAATTGTGATCTAGACACGAATGCTAAGTTTTGTCTTGGGATTCAGGTACCAGAGGAGCACCACCGCGGTCTCCATGGGTAAGCCATTCCTTCTTCCTCCTACATTTCCTTGGAGATGGATTTCTTATGACAATGCTGAGTCAGCTTTATCTGTAGTGGCTCCTGTTTGCTACGCGCATTTGGCAGCACAGCAGATGTCGCAGTTCCTCAAGTTCGAGGACTTCTCGGGTGCTGCAGGGAGGCAAGGCGTCCCCGAGCTTCCAAGGCTGCATGACAACGTGAAAAGCTCCATGTTCTTTTGCTGAGGTCAGGAGCCTTCTGCCCTTAGTTTTGTGGTCGCTGTTTATATGATTGAAATATTTGTCAAAGCAGATAGTTGGGTATACATACACTGGCATAGGTTTTCTGATCATGACATTAGCATTATTATGGATGTTTTATAGCTTCAGTACTGAACCTCAACATATTTTGGTCAGTTAGAGCATCACAATTTTGGGAGTATTTAATATATCTAATGATTAGAACTTCAAAAACAAATTTTACATGCACAAGGCAATATAAACTAATTTAGAGGGAAAAAACTGACTCCAAAACAATAAGGAAATTATTTGATATGGGTATGTATGAATATATACAGAGGACAACGATAGAAGTGTGAATGTAGCCTCTCAAGAAAAGAGAGTGACATCGTGACATGTGGCTCATTGCAGAAACAGATGACACTATAAAAACAGTGGAGTCCAGTTCAGCATCATTATTCTGATAAACCAGCTTTACATAGTGGAAAATGGAAACACAAAATTGTTCTCATCCTTCAACAAGTTTGGTTTTAAATCTGTGGAACAAAAATTGTAACTTACATCACCTGCTATTCATTCATCACAAAAGACCACAGCTCCCATCATCACCTACCATAAAGATCTTTAGTCGAGCAGGCAGGCAAAAGAAAAAAAGGTGATATAGGAGGCAGAGATGCAAAATCTTCATCTTTGAAAGGATGGTCAGGAATGGATCAAAAAGAGGGTTAGTGAATATAGACTTTTATCTCATGGAGACTCTGAAAGGGATTCATTATTCAATGTATTCTTGGTAGGGTTTCCATGCTCATGAGTTTGAGGATTCTGCTGTGCACCACCTTTCTCAGAAATTGCCAGCTGATCAGGCAAATTTGATGACTTGGAAGATGAATTCCCAGCTGATGTCCATATAACTTGTAAACTCCGTTGGTTGGGAAAGAGTGCAGGCTGACCCGGATAAGTGAATGGAGGCAGACTATAACCGTAGTATCCCACCAATGGATGATCGAATTTGCAAGCTGTGCCATAATTGCAGCTTCCATATGCAGCATAGAAGGTGCATACAGGCTGACCCTTTGTGAGCAAGCCATGAATACATGGGACACCAAGAATTGAGTTAGATAGCAAAACTGAGAAAATAATAGATGGAAAGAAGAGTAAGGATCAAATTTACTGGTCTTAGAGGAAGCCCTAGGGGTCCTATGGTGGCCATGGCTGGTTGGTTCCTCTCTTTTGGGTGATGGTACTTGCAAGAGCTTCCATACTTGCAGTTCCCAGTTTTCATGTAAAACTGGCATTCTGGTTGGTCAGGCCTCTCGGGCAAACTTAGTGGCACACCTGGACCTGGTTGTTCCTGATGCTTGGCTGTCAGACCTGGCGCAGGCATATCGGTAGAAGAGATATGGTTTGTGCTGCCCTGGCATGCATTAAAAACTTGCTTTTAGATGTCCACAGAATATAAATCAACTACAAATTATGCCGGCCACTGCATGAACAAGACAAACATAGGCGATTGGCTTACCAAATTATAACATGATTACAATTTAGAAATAAGCCTTTTCTAGGAAGTAAACAATTAAAGAGTGATTCCCGATCATGGTAGAAGAGAATAAAGCTGCATATTAACCATGTATTATTCTATGAGTCATTCATATTAGCCAGTACCCAAAGGCCATAAAAACTCGTGTTGGTCTTATTAGCTTTAGAATGCTAAACGCAACATAACAATTTATACATGCTTGTAGTAAAAATAATGCCTTCTACATAGAAGGTCAAAGTGATTGACTGAAACAATAAGAAGCTTCAACTGACACGGTCCTGTACCGTTCTTTGACTGATTTGTCATAGATGGTTGTAAAACTGGACAAAGATTAGCATAAAGTTACATATACGTAAAAGAGCAAAAACTAAAGGATGCAACACATCTGCAAATGCATGATGAAGGTGCTGGAAAAAAGAAACTAAAGTGTCTGAATATTGAACTCAGTAAACAAAAAATAATAATTTCTGAAACTAAAAATGCTTCACAAATATCAGAAAAGAGAGGAAGTTTATGTGACGAGTTGTGGTACATCATGAACTAATATGAAACATGCAAATGTATCACAAACATTGAGCAAGAAGAAAAGGCATTATGTAAAATACCAAACAATAATCTAAAACAGACATGATTTATCCACATTTAGCTGACTTACAGAATCTCACTTTTTTTAAAAAATATATAGCTACTAACCATGTATGAGATCCAACCCTGTGGCACAGGTATAGTCCCTTGGGAGGGTGGGAGAACAAGAGGTACATAAGCTGGGAGACCTTGCGTAGTTGGATTAGACATATAAGGAATTCTTGATAAATGCCATTGAGAAATCCCACCACTTACATGTGGCCCTGATGTAGGTGCCATATAACCTGAATAATCATAGACTGAGGATCCTGTGACAGGGAATGAAGATCCACGGGAGGCAGGCTGGGGATGATTGAACTTGCAGGCGACTCCGTATTTACATGACCCTGTTTTCATGTAGTAGGCACATGGCTTTTCATCCTGGAAACCAGATCCAATGAACAGTGCACCGAAATTTCGTTAGTTAGCTATAGGATATAAAATCATGAAATAGAGAAGAGAAGGTGATGGAAATTGACAAGCATATGAAAGTTTGAACCATATAAGGGGGCCAAGTAGCAGTAGAGACCTTTCGGATAGGTAGACCAAGAACATTCAGCTGAACCATATGTATCTCATGTTTGTCGCGTGGATGATGATATTTACATGTTATTCCATATTTGCAACTTCCTGTTTTCAGGAAAAACTGCAAGAATAGTTGAGACATTAACCAGATATTATAGCCAATTATAAAAGGCAGTTCAACAGATTCAACACAGTAAGAAGGCCAGTATATCTAGCTTAAGCCAACTGACATCAGCCGACATGCTGGTTTCCTTCAATATCTAATGACCGAAAACAAAAGCTGTCCAATAGGAACAGGAGATTCATGTCTCGAAGCAATAAACTATAGTAGAAACTCATATCTGTGTTACTGTGTAGTTATTTGCCTGGTTGCACTTATCAACATGTATATAAACAATCTGGTTACCAACGAATATCAGTCAAATTTAAATGCCCGATAACTGTACATCACATCACATGACAAAGCCAGCAATTATTATTCAATGGCGGAAACTCCAATATTGAGTGGATAAAACTTTGTGATGGTATCCTTAGAGGTTGCACAGATACACAATATCCACTTTATGTTTCAAAATATTATTGATGTCACAATGTTTCCTTGTTGATTTTGGGAAACGTCCTACTTACCAGTCACAGATACAAGAAAGCACAAATTTCTAGATTTTTTAGTCCCATCTTGCATGATTTTTATCCAGAGATGCCCTAGAACATGTTAGAACCTGTTAGGTTCATGTTCATGGATCAACTACTCACAGAAGCACCATTTCACTTTAAGAAACCGAGTGATCCTGTAGTACCCATGGAACAAAGAGAAATAAGACAAAGATTGTAGCAAGTCTTCAGAAATGCTATCGCAATGAAATGATCATTGTTGATGAATGGAAGAATTGGTGTCTAAATCTGATAATATCAACTTGATATATAGGCACTTGACATCAGAAAATGGTGATAGTTCAAATCAGGGATTAAAGTGGTGTTGGCATCCCAATTCCAACAAATGACTGAACGGTACTACTCACCAACCACCCCGAAAAAAAAAGAAACGAAAAAACATTTGACAAGAACTCAATGAACAGCTCATAAAACGAAAAACAACATAACTGTCAGATGATCCATTGGTCACTTGTCTTTTCTGATCTTGTCTTCTCTGGTCACTTGCTCAAATATGAGATGCACAAGGCAGTGAAACAAACCCTAAAAACTATAGATAAGTATGATAAATTTACAATTGATATCTTGGATCAAATCTGTCTATTCGATCCTTTGGACTGAATCATTCTAATATGTAGTCAGCATTTCAGCGCTATTGAAAGGCAAGTTTACCTGGCACTCGGCAGTTTAGACAACAGATCCAAGTGCGAATTCTGTTTTTGCAAGCGTGTGCTGTGGGTATAATGTTCCAACATGATATGGCATATAAGAACTTTGCAGGTTGGCTCAAACCAAGAATGTGTAGAAGGATATGTTGAAACATCCCTCAGTATGGCAAGGATTGAAAATGATTGCAAGCGTTTCAAATATGCACTAATTGTCAATTATTTTAAATGATACTTTAAAGATAAAACATCTTCAGTATTTCTCACAAGTAGTGAAAATAAATCATCTTTAGCAAACCTAGCAAATGGAGAATAATTATTGGAATAGGGAATCAGTTCAACACTTCAAGGTTCGAGAAAGGGCACAGATAGATTTCTAAAAAATAGAAAAAATTCCAGGCATGTTGCATATATCAACTCCTATCGGGAGAAGAAATTTAGATAAAGCAAATATAGTGGAAGGATTAGTGTTTCTTGTCATGATCCTAGATACTTTCCTAATCTTATCCAGCATCATGACAGCATGAAAACCAATAGAGTATCACGGACTTAGTTGGATTTGCCCAAGTGCAGCACCCTTGCATGTCCGTCTGCAACGGTCAGCCTCCCCGAAGTCTCCCATGGTCCCTTAGGACCCACAAAAGAGAAAACAGGTTAGAGAAAATACCTCACTCGGGATCCACAAGCAAACATTTCCGAAAACACTTCATAGACAATGCAAATTACAAACAGGCTTTACAAGCTCCGAACAGTTACACAACAAAGGGTCAAAATGGTTCATTAAAGATCGAAAATCTCTCACAAGTGTCCACATGACACAACCTTTATTTACAAGCCTAAAGCGGCCACCAAACCCAACTAAAATAGGTCTATTAAGCCTTCGATCGTCCCTCTACATGCGGTGCAAAGTATGAACATACCAAAAGACACAGACATACATAAGCATTACATTAAACATCCTGTTTAGAAGTTTGTCCGTGACATTCTCCCTCACTTATTCCTTCGACGTCCTCGTCGAAGCCTTTGCCGACACTGCAACTCCTTGCCTTTGTTGAGTCTTCAATCTTTTGCTCCAGCTACAATGTGCCTCCTAGCTCCCAACTGCTCTCCGCTGCTGTTTTTGAGTAGTCGAACCTTTGATCCGCCATGCCGCTTCAACTCGCCAATGACTCTGACTCTAGTGTGCGGTTGACTGAGTTATGTTGATCCCTTTTGGTTCCTGCGGTTCCTCCAGATGAAGGAAAATACCATCCTTACTACGCGTCAGTCTCTCAAATGCCTCATGCTGCTTGAACTGGGTGGATGCTTGTTGGAGCTTTAACGAACATCACCATGCAAACTTATGAAGTTTTGGGTCCTTCCACAAAATTTGCCCATTGACTCTTCTTTTACTTAGTTGTCACTTCCAAGTAGATTCACATCACTTCTGCTTTCGATTAGTGTTTCGTTGGGAAATGAAGCGGACAATCTACTCTCAGTAGCACTGATCCCCGTTGGTGAGGATTTGACAACTATTGTCTTCTATTATCTTCGAAGGGTCTTTGAACCTGTGCAGAGCTCCTCTGCTAGATAGATAAAAGAATTGAGGTACTCGGTTTCGCCTATTCTCTTAAGGGTTGAGAAGGCAATAGTTACTTGACTTCGCCCGCCTCCTCAAGGTTGTACTCCATGTATCGAGCTGGTTACTGGCCTTCGCCTGCTCTTTGCTCACACTTCTGAAGCACTTGAAGTGTTTGCACTCATTGCATTGAGGTCGTTACTGTGATTCACCTTCTCAATGCCATCGAACTTCTGAAATGCAGGAAGTTTTCACCCCAACTTGGAGTAATTCTCTAATAGATTTGGTCGCCTCTGGGATTGTATAGTCTTCTCTATCAACCCTACCGCATACTCCATTGAGTAGCAAAGGTACAACACCATGTATTGCCTGCTTCGTTCCTTGGTCGTGCACTCTTGCATGGCCCGAAGTCCTTCACTTTCGGCTATCTTGATGAGAAGCTCGTTGACACCGGTCTTACGAAGTTCCTTGGCCTCTATCCTTCAACCTTGTCTCGGTACTTGGAGTTTGCCTCTGCATGCTCCACCTCCTCGGCCCCTTTCACGGCAAAGCGCTCTCCCTCCATGAGATCAAGGGATCAATGACTTTCACGGAAGTCCCGCCTCTGCGATACCATGGCGCTGTCATGCCCATGGCCCTACTATCCGTCGCCTCGCATCTGCATCCCTTTTCTTCACGATCAGTAGATATGTCTCTGTGGCACTCCTCCGAATCCACCTCCATTCTAACTGATGCTTGATTTTGAGTAGCTAAGACCCTCTGGACTCGCCGTCGCTTCCTCGCCCCTTTCAACCCGCTGCTTCAACACCTCTGTGTTCTCCAAGCAGCTCCCTTTGGTCGATGGAAAGACAGACTACAACTCCCATGCATGGCCTCTGCCATCACGTTGTAGGATTTGCACCGATTCTATTCTCCTTAGCTTCCTTGGTAGCAACGTTCGCTTACTCGACCTTGTCCTCTGACTTGCCGGACTCCCTTAAGCGAATATGGGCTCTGGAGCAGTCCAACTCTCCAGTTGCTTCGATCATACCTCTGCATGATCAAGCCCCTCCCATGGGACTCATTAGTACTTGCATGCAAACTTTTTCCTTGGTGGAACACAACCCCCATATGCTGATGACCAAGGCTTTCATCCGATGCAAAATTCGATGCATGAACGGAAGACTTGCCTCTGCGGTACCATAGCCTTCACTCCTTGAATCCATAGTCTTTCTTGCCATCGTGTTGTTCATCGAAGTGGAGCTTCCAGTAGCTCCCGATCATACCTCCGTATGATCTAGTCCCTCACGGGACTATGTCATGTGTATCGCATTGCCACGAACTGTTCCACCACGATCCGCTGCACCATGTCGCCTCCTGGTGACATTTCTATTGCATTCTGATCCTCGTGGGATGAACTCGAATTGTGATCCCTATATGTGTGGCCTCTACCAATACATCGCAGGGTCTCTTCCACCTTCGATTTTGTTCGCTCCTTTGGCAATTGACTTTCATCCATCCACTCTTGGGTCACACCTAGATGAAGCACCGCTCTAGGATAGTCCATCGCCTAGTAGCTCTCGAAGTCCACCGACTTCGCTGAAAATGGTGCACCATTGTCAGGATCCTAAGCCTTTGCCCCTACCAGCACAATCTCCGCTGCGCACCGCTTCCTGCCTAGCAACTTGACTGGCAACACTGTGACATATTCTTCAAGAGTACTCGCCTCCGCGTCCTCTTGCCCCATGCCAAGGCCTTATGAACCCAACTTCGCCTCCGCAAGTTGAGTCACCTTAGTTCCTCCATCAAGTGCTTCTCCGAGATAAGGTGCATGTGCCCAGAAGCTCCCTTCATCTTTGACACTATGCAAGATGAGTCCGCTCCGTCAGAATGAAGGACCCATGGAACAACATGATCCTGCTCTTGCCTCTGCAAGAGTTCATGTCCTTGACCTTTGTCCTAGGAAAGCACTGTGCCTCCGCTCCATGTTCCATCTTCTATGCTGGCTCCCTTCATGCGGCTTGGGTACTTCGCCAAGTTACACCCAGGTTGCTCCGCTCCTCGTTTTTGCATTGAGTTGATGGTGGCCCTCGCGCCCACTATTCCACGGGTCAGCCCTCCATTGAGTCCGATCTCCATATCGACTCCAAGTATGCCTTCATTTGTGTTGTTTTGGGTCGCTCCCCACTTGATCTCGCAATGCATCCACCAATACATTCTCTCAAGCGAGATCATGCGACGACTCCTCGCCGCTTGCTCGGTCCATTGAGCTTCGTGGAGTTGTTGTTTGTTGAGGTACTCCTCCTCAACATGTGCGGTCCGTCCCACATGATTCTTCCTTTGGAGAGCCGGGACTTATCCCTTCTGGATAACTGTCCCGTTGGAGCAACATCTCTCTTCGTTTCAGAGACCACACCCCCTTGGACTACTCCGATTTGCTGAACAATCTGTGCATTGTTCTGTCTCCTACAAATGCACTTGCTAGATTGCGACTCCACGTTAATATAGCCCCCGCTGCACCACTCAAGGCCTAGCAACATGCTGAACTCGTTGCACACTTTAGCCTCATACAGACGTATCCTTCACATGTCGAAGAGAAAGTTTCAATGCTCCATGGCGTCGAGTTTCTGTCGCCTTAGGATGGCCGCGAACTTTCCATCGTCCGCATACAAGCCCATGCATGAGTACCGAATTCTTTGAGTTAGCAATTCTCCTCACCTCTGTGAGTTTTGCACAACTCTTTCGGTCGCTGAGCAACTCATTCCACCTTGCATGGTCTCATCCTTTACCAAGCGCCTCGCTTGCCTTGAGCACCATCAAGTATAGTTGTCAACGTTGAGCCGTAGCTCAAACTCAACCATCCCAACTTTTGTGCGCTCCACATTCTTCTAAGCTTGCCTATTCTCGTGGTGCCTCTTGCGCGAAGGGTTGGTCATTCCTCTGAATGCCAATCTCAGATGTCCGCTCCTCCGAGCAACTCCTTTTCCCTACATCTCCATGCTCGTTTTCTCCCAAACGGTCGCGCGTGTGTTGACTGCCCTCAACTTAGCCCCGTTAGATCCCCCACGTTTGCATGCTAAGTGTTTTTATGAGTGCTTGTCCCGCTCTGATACTATCTGTCACAGACTTAGCTGGATTTGCCTAAGTCGTGCGGCACCCTTGCGTGTCCGTTCGCAAATGTCAGTCTCCCCGAAGCCTCCCATGGTCTCTTAGGACCCACAAAAGAGAAAACGGGTTAGAGAAAAAGTCTCACTCGGGATCCACAAACAAACATTTCCAAAAACACTTCATAGACAATGTCAATTACAAACAAACTTTACAAGCTATGAACAGTTGCACAACAAAGGATCAAAATGGTTCATTACGGACCGAAAATCTCTTACAAGTGTCTACATAACACAATCTTTATTTATAAGCCTAAAATGGTCACTAAACCCAACTAAAATGGGATTATTAAGCCTTCGACCATCCCTCTACATGGGGTGCAAAGCATAAACATATCAAAAGATATGGACATACATAAACAGTACATTAAACAACCTATTTAGAAGTTTGTCCGTGACAAGAGGGATACATGATATGCATTATTAGGGTGGATAAGAAGCTTTCAAACATTCGATCATGTATGCCGGATAGAATGAAAAAATTATGATTTAATAGGCAAACCTTACTTTATCTGCATAGGTTCCATTTAATAGGCAATAGGCAAGTATTTGACATGTAATCATTTCATTTTATTAAAAAAAAGTTTTTGATTTGATATTATTAGTGGATGAACTTCAGGATAATGAAACATTGACTATGAGGAATCTTGATGCCAAAGAGGTAATTGCAGCAAGCAAATTGCTAATTGTCTTGCATTTACTTGGTGCATAAAAAGAGTTTCTATTTCAACTAAATAGTAAGTTAGAACAGATCCATACAAGTGCCACGTACCGGTTGAACCATTTATTACAAATCAAACTAGGTAGAGATACCAAAAGACATTTAGCTGATTCTCCTGAAATTATTGCATAGATTAAAATGTTGCTTATTAGGCTTGGGAAATCAGGTAGACTGAAAGTATACATAAATCAGATTAGGAGTCTCGAGTATGCTTCAATATACAAGTCATGCATTGATAAACATGGATGACCAGCAATCATGCTCCAAATGGTTCTTGGATAAGATCTTATCCAAAGAGAGAGAGAGAGAGAGAGAGAGAGAGAGAGAGAGAGAGAA